TCACAAAATAATAGAAGTTTTTATCCATAAACTTGTTATTATTGTACTTCCAAATTTCTAAATTGCCATCAAAGAAATTAAAGATATCATCATCCAAAAAGCTTTGCTTCAGAGTAAACCTTGCATAAAATATTCCAATCAGCACAGAACCATTATGAACTTCACTTGTATAGAAGCTAAACCTGTGACAAGATACATAAATAATGCAGATACCCTTCTACCTTTACACCTCTCCCAAGAAGGGAATGACCTAATACTTGCATTTTTAATAGAGACAGTGAAGAAAGTCTTGCCATAACGGGGTGTCAGAATGTTTGTACACCTATCACAGGGCATGAACTTCTTCATACCTAGTGACTTTGGAACATTGTCTTGGATCTTAATTGGCACAGTGGGATAACCTTTCAGTTAAAGCTTTCTCCGTCATGCTGAAGGCCAGGGTTCGAATCTCCACATGGGTACAATGTGTAAAGCCCATTTCTGGCATCCCCAACTGTGATATTGTTGGAATATTGCTACAAGCGACAAAACCCAACTCACTCATTCATTACATCTTAATCAATATTTAATGCTTCTTAAACATCAAAGATTGAAAGGTCTTGAATTTCTGAGAGATTACAAAATGGCCATTCTTTGCACCAGTAATTCCAGAACCAGGTTTCAATGAAGCCTGCATGTCATAAGAGCTGCCACGAGGAACCAAACCATAATGACCTTGCATCACGATACACCAATAACACTGATCATCGGTGAAGCTATCAAGCACAGGTTTGTCAGTTCAAGTTCGGATTACTTGAGGCCGCAGTGACAGCTGTCATATCACTGACAAGGTTAAAACAACAGTCCCTTTCCCCCCTCCATGATGTGTCACCAAAGGTTCTGCCATGATGACTCAGGCACAATGGTGACATGCTATGTCAATGCCACTGACCCCTCTGTGAACAGTGGTCCCTGTGTGATTCAGAGTCAATTATACCAAGCTGGTGACAACTGCAGGCAACTTTTTTCTCCCTGTCATTGTAATGTCAATTCGACCAATTATACTGCAGGACCCCATTTTCTCTTATGCATATTTCATCAAATTAAGGATTCAATTCAATATTTGTGCCATTTTAGTCCTAATTTCTGGAAGCTTTGGGGTCTGCCCTAAAACTGATGATGTATTATTAATGGTAGCATCAAAGGTCCCTCTTTATTTCCCATCTATTATTGATAGCTCTTAATAATATCGAGGTGATAACACTCAACTGGGAAATGGCTTTTTAACTTTCTTAAGCAGAGATAAAAATATCATTCTACCAATAAGGAGAAAATTAAAAAAATGTTTCTTCAACCAAGACAAAATAAAAAAGTACACCTACAACCAATTAAAGCAGAACCCAGCTAAACCCAATCACAGATACCCAGAGCAGATGATATTTATGTGAAAAGAAATATATACCACATAAAATGCTTCAAATATCCGGAAATCCGGTTTCCGATCTGGACAGGGAATTTCAATTACCAACAGTGTCGTGCCCCACTTAACACACAGAACCACGCTTGATGATGCTTGTTTTGCAATTTAGTATTCAGGATCCAACATCAAAGAGCCAGGTATCAGGTGATTGTAGAGATAACTTAATCCTGTCATTCCACAAACTGGTTCCAAAAAGTATTGTTGTATACCTAGGGTGATGACTGTAACCTATTTTATAAATTTTACACAAAATTACATTCAACATTTTTTTACATCACTTTTGGAAAAATCATGTGTGATAGCTCTAACTCAACATTCTTTACATCAACCATGATAAGATTACCGGTATTGACGACCTGAAATGTCCAGGAATCAACAGAAAACAGATACATATATCCTTAATGCCATACTTCGATTCATTACAAGTCATATTTGTCGTAGCCTGACCTTTTCCTGTCAACATAACATTTTTTTGATGAAAATAGCAAGACTGCAGAAAATCTTAACTTTAAGTGATAAGACTGATAAAACCAATAGAAATGTCCATCATTACTGGTCCAAAGTTCCATATTGCTACACTTCCAGTTATCATCAGTTTAAACATATAACCTATAGTTTATACCTTAGGCCAGACCAATTATATTTCTTGTTTTGCGGATCCACCGGTCGTATTTTTTCAAGAATAATGATAATAAAAAAAACCTTATTTTCCCCGCTCAAAAAATAAAATCCTGAATTGGCCAAAAATGTAAACTTACCCCCCAATTTTTTTTTATTGTTGTTTGCTCCATATACACTTCATAAATTGCCAAAAGTAAAATACTTTTAGTATTTAAAAGGAATATTACTTTGGTGATTATTGTTTTTTTCCTTCCTGCTTTTATGTTTCCTGAGGACAAACATGAAATAAAATTGGTCTGGCCTTAACTAAATATATAATATTATGGGAATTTATTATTACTGTTAAAAGAATTATGTTTAAGAAGCAACCCATTAAGATCCAAGTAAGAATTTGTCTTCAACAACCCATGCTTGTCACAAGAGGCAGCTAACGGTATCGGGTGGTCAGGCTCACTGACTTGGTTGACACATGTCATCGTATCCTATGATGTTGATCACTGGATTGTCTGGTCCAGATTTGATTATTTACAGACCAGTCATATAGCTGGAATATTGCCGAGTGTTGGGTTAAACAACAATCAATCAATGTTTTAAGAAGCAATATATTCCGACAATTACATCAAATGTCCAGTGATCGACAACATGAGCATCGACATCAGCAATATGGATATGATGACTTGTGTCAACAAAGTAAGCGAGCCTGACCACCCGGTCCCATAAGTTGCCTTTTATTACAAGGATGGGTTGCTGAAGATCAATTCTAACCCAGATCCTCACGAGTCGTGTAATGTAATTTTATGACCTTCCACAAGGAAGACTGAGGACATACAAGGGACCTTTTCTTCTCTGTTAACCCCACAAAGGGTCAAAGGCAAGGCTCATGCAGCCTATTCTATAATGGACAATATCTTGGCCTGAGACTGATCAACACCTTCAACCTAGGTTTGGGGAAGGCTAACAAATTATTTCAGAGACAGACTACTCCAAACAAGGGGCAAGAATGACATCCAGAGTCTCTGGTTCCTGTACTTATCCTCTAATCCCCACAAGGGTAAGGATGAGGGAACCTATCCTATAATCCCCACAAGGGTAAGGATGAGGGAACCTATCCTATAATCCCCACAAGGGTAAGGATGAGGGAACCTATCCTATAATCCCCACAAGGGTATCCTATAATCCCCACAAGGGTAAGGATGAGGGAACCTATCCTATAATCCCCACAAGGGTAAGGATGAGGGAACCTATCCTATAATCCCCAAAAGGAGCAGAGATTAGGAGATTGCCACAAGGTTGAGGGTGAGGCACAGGGACCTACTCCACCTTCTACTGCCCGCAAGGGGCAAAGATGAAGACCTTGTCTGCCCAAGAACCCCAACTAAAGCAAATATGAGGAATTCTTGGATGAGGAGAAACCTGTGATTGACAATAATCTATTTCAAATACCATCAATATCACCGAAAGTATCCCCAATCAAAAAGTATACTAGCTAGGAATCTTGACCTGAGACTCTGAACTTCATCATCGACCCAGCTTGAAAGGCTAACAAATTATGTCAGTAACAACGGACCACTTTGTCCGAGTCAACTAGTACTGCATATAAAACACTTACATTAGCCTGATAACCCACAGTCCAAACACCACAACCAATCGTATTCTCATAAACTGATCCCGGACTGAGATGTGTGTGCTTGTAACAGGATACAGTACAACTTCCTCCAACATAATGAGCTGGCTGAGTGTGCCGACACTTTGGCCGGGGGCAAGAAGGGGCCCTCTCTATCTCCATGTGGTCAACTGTTAGTAGACAACGTGATAAGCTAAGGCGCAACAGCAGAAAGTCGTTACAGACTTGCTTGGAGCCATCGCTTCATGAGATCAATATGAGAAGTGCTATGAGAGTCGTGCCTCCTTGATGAATATTTTAAAACTAACCACACTTTATTATGTTTTTTTGTCAGGAAGGTTGTTTGTCTAGTGATAGCTGGTGACTTTATGTGGGCTCTTAATCCTCATCACTTTCAGTCAATGTTAGGTCAGGCAACATGGGTGAGGTGTGGTGAGGTTGGGTGAGGTTGGATGAGGTGAAGTGGAATGGGATGGGATGGGATGAGATGAGATGAGGTGGGGTGGGGTGGGGTGAGATTGGATGGGAAGGGGTGAGGTGGGGTGGAGTGAGGTGAGGTGAATTTGACCGTTATTCCAGCTAAGGCATCTCAGACGTTTACTAGTTTGGCTACATCCACAAGCACAGGTATGGTGCTGGCAAACTTAGAAACATAAACAGGGGGAATGGGAATTCAAATCCATTATCATAAGTTTCTGGTATGCCCAAAGGGCACAACTTTACAAAGCAAACTGATTCATATCGGTGTTGATTTGACTGATACTGGACTGTTACAGACTGTAATAGTGCTGGATCATTGCTGTTCTCACAATCTATGCACAGGGGTGGAAATAACCCATTGCCAGTGTTTTTTTTCTATAAGCAAATTTGTATATCACACTGTACTTCTCCAATGTTAATTATGTTGTTTATTTGACAAATCAACAAGAAAATGGCCGGTATAGTTGAAAAATTATCAGGGCAAGTGATTTTACATGTGCCACTGTACCGGAGTACACTTGCAATTTTAAAGTTATTTCCACCCCTGATGCACCTTATCTCACACCTCGACCAGCTGTTCACATACTTCTTTCCATCAACCATGAAGATCTGGGTTAGAATTGATCTTCAGTAACCCATGCTTGGCATGAGAGGCGACTAACGGGATCGGGTGGTCAGGCTCGCTGACTTGGTACAGCTGCCATATGTAACTGGAATATTGCTGAGTTAAACAACAAACCAATCAAATGTTGACATCAACATAATTTGAACATAGACAAAAATGTGAAAAAAAAGTGTTGAAAACATGTTACTCACATTCTTATGGTTGACCAATTTCATGAGCACAAATTCCCTATATGCACGCTTAGCGTGTGTGACATTCTGGAAGGGCCGGCTCAGCTTCTTGATGGCCACCATGTGACCGGACTGTGTGTCGCAAGCCGCACTGAAACAGACATGGAGTAACAATTATTGGTCATTGCAAGACATGGTAGACATGAACAAGGCCAACAAATCCTTAGACAAAAACCTGCACTGTGATTCTTGAAACCCTGGTTCGTTAGTATCTATGGCAAATGAAGAATCTTGTAGTTGGCAAATTTACATCAATTATCTCACCACACACACTAAAAGGAAGTAACATATGGAAAGAAAGAAAAATGGAATATGTCATATTTCAGTTAGATTACAGACTGTTTAGGTTATTCTTATGTACAAGAACAAAACATATTTGTGGTTTAGAGTAGTGGTGGTCCGATTCTTATGTACAAGAACAAAGCGACCAAGCATTCGATCATTTTTCTCATAATCAAACGGTTTACAGTAGCCTGGGTTAAAGCGTTGGCTCGTCCGATTAATTCGATTCCCCACATGGGCACAATGTGTTAAGCCCATTTCTGGTGTCCCCGGCCGTGATATTGCTGGAATATTGCTAAAAGCGGCGTAAAACTAAACTCAGTCAGTCAGTCAGTCAGTCATAATCAAACACAACCAATTTTGGAACACTTGTTTTCATTAACAATATTTTTCACATGGTTGGTTTTGTCTGTTACATTTTGTAAGCACTACAAGCTCGTTTCAAGTCATGATTAAATTTATCTTAAAGGCTCCAAGAAATTTATGTTCCTAACATACTAGTCATCCTTTAAAGATGTGAAATTTTGCAAAAAAACCAAAATAACTATGTTTTTTCCCTATTTTTATGTGCATTAACAAATTTCATAAATGCCGCTAACCAATTATTTTTGATGATTGATCGGTTGTAATGAACCAATCATCAATTATGAGATTTTAACCAATTCCCAACACTAGTTTACAGATTGACTTGGAAACCATGAATTTTTTTTTTTTCATCTATGTTGCCAGCAACCTGCACATCAGAAGCAAATACGACTTGCAGTATATAGGTAATAGCATGTAGTTAATAGAATAAAGTTAATAATATCTTTCTTCCGTGTGTCTATTCATGTGATTTACCTGGGACGATTTTAATTTCTCATTCAATACCAATCAGAACATTTAATAGAAGGCAGTAATAACATCTTACATACTCCAGCTATAAACCAACGACCTCGTTCTACGTGAAACTCATTATTCTAATCTAGCTGCTACTCAAAGATAGCAATAAGGGTTAATTGGGTATGGCAGTGATGAGGTAGGGTATAATTATTCCGGTCAGGAACAGTCGGCTCAACTCCTAATACCCGTGTTTCTTCATGACTGAAGGGTTAATCATTTTTTCTTTTAATTACTAACATGCATTTTAAAACCCACAACACAAGAAATGACTGACTGAGTTTGGTTTCATGCCACTTTTAGCAATATTCCAGAAACATCACGGCGGGAAACACCAGAAATGGGCTTCACACATTGTACCCATGTGGGGACTCGAACCCGGGTCTTCGGCGTGACAAGTCAACGCTTTAACCACTAGGCTATCCCACAGCCCCACACAAGAAATGAAAAGACATCATCAAGGAAATTATACCTTCTTGAGCATAATTTTAATAATCATATGAACAGAGAATCTCACTTTTCCGTTTTCATCAAACATCTTTACATCACTTTCATTAATTCTGCATAAATTATCAATTGTATATATGAAGAATATATAATAAAACTGAACTAAAATATTGACATATAGTTCAAAGTATTCAGGACACAACATCTCATTAAAATTGGATATGTCTTTGTGCCAGCTCTTGTTTAAAATATACATATTTTTATGAAGCCAGTGGATGGTGTGTTAAAGCTTTTGCAGAACTTGTGTCCTGTTTGCTGAATTTCTGCAGAACTCTGTGTAGGCTATCCGCTATAGAAACCTTGCAGACTTGTATTGCTGGTGAGAGTGTGGGTGATAAAGTGACAGGTGTTTAGGTTTATGGGGATCGCCCATGTGTCCCTTAACCAGTAGGATCCAGACAGTTTACTTTAAAAAGAGTAAAGTGGGTCCAACCCATGTCAGCGTCCCTTTAACCAGTGTAACGTGGGTGTCCAACCATTGACAGCATCCCTTTAACCAGTGTAAGTGGGTGTCCAACCAATGTCAGTGTCCCTTTAATCAGTGTAAGTGGTTGTCCAACCAATGTCAGTATCCCTTTAACCAGTGTAAGTGGGTGTCCAACCAATGTCAGTATCCCTTTAACCAGTGTAAAGTGGGTGTCCAACCAATGTCAGTATCCCTTTAACCAGTGTAAGTGGGTGTCCAACCAATGTCAGCATCCCTTTAACCAGTGTAAGTGGGTGTCCAACCAATGTCAGCATCCCTTTAACCAGTGTAAGTGGGTGTCCAACCAATGTCAGCATCCCTTTAACCAGTGTAAGTGGGTGTCCAACCAATGTCAGCATCCCTTTAACCAGTGTAAAATGGGTGTCCAACCAATGTCAGCATCCCTTTAACCAGTGTAAGTGGGTGTCCAACCAATGTCAGCATCCCTTTAACCAGTGTAAGTGGGTGTCCAACCAATGTCAGTGTCCCTTTAACCAGTGGTAAGTGGGTGTCCAACCAATGTCAACGTCCCTTTAACCAGTGTAAGTGGGTGTCCAACCAATGTCAGTGTCACTTTAACCAGTGAAAGAGGTTGTCCAACCAATGTCAGTATCCCTTTAACCAGTGTAAGTGGGTGTCCAACCAATGTCAGTATCCCTTTAACCAGTGTAAGTGGGTGTCCAACCAATGTCAGTGTCACTTTAACTAGTGTAAGTGGGTGTCCAACCAATGTCAACGTCCCTTTAAGTGGGTGTCCAACCAATGTCGGCATCCCTTTAACCAGTGTAAGTGGGTGTCCAACCAATGTCAGTGTCACTTTAACTAGTGTAAGTGGGTGTCCAACCAATGTCAACATCCCTTTAACCAGTGTAAGTGGGTGTCCAACCAATGTCAGTGTCCCTTTAACCAGTGTAAATGGGTGTCCAACCAATGTCAGTGTCCCTTTAACCAGTGTAAGTGGGTGTCCAACCAATGTCAGTGTCACTTTAACCAGTGTAAGTGGGTGTCCAACCGATGTCAGTGTCCCTTTAACCAGTGTAAGTGGGTGTCCAACCAATGTCAGTGTCCCTTTAACTAGTGTAAGTGGGTGTCCAACCAATGTCAGTGTCACTTTAACCAGTGTAAGTGGGTGTCCAACCAATGTCAGTGTCACTTTAACCAGTGTAAGTGGGTGTCCAACCTATGTGACAATGAACCTTTAAACAGAGTAACAAAAGCTCAAGCAACAATACTCCCGATCTTGCGATGTAATTTATAGAAATTAGGTACAAATTGGAAAAATGATGCATTTCTGTTTTCACAAAGCATAGCAACAAATCCCTGTAACCAAGGGCTCAGCTGAGCTGATAATATCATAGCTTCTGTCAACAAAGGCATTCTGTTGGATGTAAGGGAAAGATTTTCCTATCCAATGATAGTGTACAAAGATAAATCTGTGTTTGTGTACGAACAAATCGTCCACATTTTCACTTTGGCGTTACCAAACTAAATCTCTTCATAATACAGTTAGGGGCAGGGGTAGCCTAATGGTTAAAGCATTTGCTTGTCTTGCTGAAGGCTCAGGTACATGGGTGCAATGCCCATTTTTGGTGTCCCCCTCCGTGACATTGCTGCAATAAAAGCAGTGTAAAACTACACTCACTCACTCTTAATACAGTTAAACTGCAGCACTGATACTTCCTCACAACTTACTACACAGAGGGTAACGATTCAATCATACCCTTAACAAGTATCTGTCGGTAACATAAGGTATTTTTCCAGCAGATACAGGTGTAATGAGCTAGTTTGATTTTGGGCAATATTCCAGCATTATTACACCAAACAATTCTTCACACATTGAACTGAACCAATGCCTTCAGTGGGACGAGGTAACACTTTCACAACTGGGCCAACACATACTAACACTAGGTGTAAATACATTGTTAGCATATGGAGAACTGAACCAAAGCCTTCAGTGGGACAATGGAACACTTTCACAACTGGGCCAACACATACTAACACTAGGTGTAAATACATTGTTAGCATATGGAGAACTGAACCAATGCCTTCAGTGGGACGAGGGAACACTTTCACAACTGGGCCAACACATACTAACACTAGGTGTAAATACATTGTTAGCATATGGAGAACTGAACCAATGCCTTCAGTGGGACAATGGAACACTTTCACAACTGGGCCCTACTAACACTAGGTGTAAATACATTGTTAGCATATGGAGAACTGAACCAATGCCTTCAGTGGGACAATGGAACACTTTCACAACTGGGCCAACACATACTAACACTAGGTGTAAATACATTGTTAGCATATGGAGAACTGAACCAATGCCTTCAGTGGGACAATGGAACACTTTCACAACTGGGCCAACACATACTAACACTAGGTGTAAATACATTGTTAGCATATGGAGAACTGAACCAATGCCTTCAGTGGGACAATGGAACACTTTCACAACTGGGCCAACACATACTAACACTAGGTGTAAATACATTGTTAGCATATGGAGAACTGAACCAATGCCTTCAGTGGGACAATGGAACACTTTCACAACTTACTAACACTAGGTGTAAATACATTGTTAGCATACTAACACTAGTGGGACGAGGGAACACTAAATACATTGTTAGCATATGGAGAACTGAACCAATGCCTTCAGTGGGACGAGGGAACACTTTCACAACTGGGCCAACACATACTAACACTAGGTGTAAATACATTGTTAGCATATGGAGAACTGAACCAATGCCTTCAGTGGGACAATGGAACACTTTCACAACTGGGCCAACACATACTAACACTAGGTGTAAATACATTGTTAGCATATGGAGAACTGAACCGATGCCTTCAGTGGGACAATGGAACACTTTCACAACTGGGCCAACACATACTAACACTAGGTGTAAATACATTGTTAGCATATGGAGAACTGAACCAATGCCTTCAGTGGGACGAGGGAA